ACAATCTGAGGAAGGAGAGTTCCAGACGGAACAAAGTGCAAAAGCAAAGAGATCTGTGTGTCTGGAAGGGGAGAATGCAGTCCACAGTCCCTTTTCCAAAATGCTGGAACCCAAACACCTCCAAAGATTCTGGTCTTACTTATTCCCTGACCTCCTTCCCTTCCAAATCTATGAACATAATTCTCTCTCTCCCTAGACCAGCCCTCCATTTACTTTTCTTTTTTTAATTTATTGATGTTTAATTGAAGGACAACTGCTTTACAACATTGTATTGGCTTCTGCCATACATCAACATGAATCAGCCATTAGATATACAGATGTCCCCTCCCTGTTGACCCTCCCTCCCACCTCCCACCCCATCCCACCCCTCTAGGTTGTCACAGAGCTCTGGTTTGAGGTCCCTGAATCACACAGCAAATTCCTACTGTATCTATTGAGATGGATGAACCTAGAGCCTAGTATACAGAGTGAAGTAAGTCAGAAAAACAAATATCGTATATTAAGCATATACAGGGAATCTAGAGAGATGGTGCTGATGAATCTATTTGCCCGGCAACAATGGAGATGAAGAGAGAGCACAGACTTGTGGACCCAGGCGGGGGAAGGAGAGAGTGGGACAAATGGAGAGAGTAGCGTGAAAGCATATTCACTACCTCCATTTACTTTTCTCTGCGTTAGAACCTCCAGAAGCCTCTGTCAAGGCATCCTGTGCCTACACCTTCTTGCACCACCTCCTGGGCAGCTCCACTCCCCACCCACCCTCCCCCAGTGCACAAGTGCCTGACCCCTGAGGACACAAGTATTATCTTTTTATTATTATTATTATCACTATTATGGCTTTTCCTGGCTTAAAAAAAAAAAGCTGAATTAAAACATCTGTCCTTGGAGGGATGAGGGCAATGTATTAGGACTCTGGCAGCATTGCCCTAAAACTCAGGATTTCCACCTGAAAGCTTAATTTTTCTGTATTGGAAGAAAATCTTAGCCCTGATTGTGAGATCTGAAGAATTGAGACGGATAGTTTTATGTTAATGGGGAAATAAATGAATGAGGAAGGGTAGCCTTGAGATGGAGGAAGAGGGAATAAATAAAAAGAAGTGGAGGTGGGAGGTGAAAAGGGATTGAGGACACAAACTGTTAAAAGTAAACTGTAAACAGGTTTAATGGAGACAAACTCAGTTTGTCTGTCTGAGTTTGTCTCAGGCATTTCTCAGTTCTGCAAGTATCTACGAATGGTGGGGGAAGGGGGCGAGGATGGGGTTACCGTTAATCCTTTCTTGTCCTAGTGTTATGGAGTGCTGAGATTTTTTTAACTTTTAAGATTTTTAATGATACCAAACTCTTCCAAATTAGAAAAAAACATTAATTTTTTAAAAATGTTTTTTAAGTGAGCAATGATTTACTAGCTGTCATCTGAAAATCGCTTGAAATTGGTAGTGACTTTTTTTAGAAGTAGCCACACACGAGAAAGCGTTCGGACGCTTCGAAAACCTCTTAGCTATCGCCGGATGCGCCAAAGTCAAGATCCTCCGCAGACAGGAAATGCCTTTGCCAGCCCCAAGGTCTCCTCCCTGCGGCCCACTCTATTGTCTGGAGAGATTTGTGTACATCCGACTGAGGAGGTTTCCCGCCTGCAACTGCGAATCAAAGAGCTGCCTCAAAAGAACGGACTCAGTGGGGGCTTTCTAGCTCTCCTGGCTGACACCTGGCGCCCACTGTGTGCCAGGTACTGATGCCTCCGCTCAGGTGAGCCGCTTACCTCCCCGAGGAACTGAGGCTGCCAGTTCAGCCCAAGGCCCCCAGCCAGCAAGGGAGGTGGAGGGGATTCGACTGCCTTACTTCCATTCCTGCTCTTATCCGCTTGGTTAAGATTCCTGAGAAGGGTTGCCCACAGCTACGTCTGAAAGGGCAGACTACATCGGTTCTGTGGAGTTTAGATGTCAGATATTTTGGTCGGTGGGAGGAATCTCCAAAGTGTTTCTCATTTGGATTCAACAACAATATCAACAAAAAATGTGTCAAGGGATAAAAATCAGGTTAGAGAGATTCCAGCCGGAATTTCATGAAACCCAAAGAGATGAAAAGTAAATGTTAGTACAATATCTGGTTGTTTTTACTACAAGATACTGAGCTCCTAACTAATTAGAAGCATCCTGAGTGATTGTGTGGTTTTCCAAATTTTGTCCCACGTTGTCAGAATTCACATAAATATCACCTCTAGTCGCAGATTTAGAGGATCATTGATCATTAGATTAAGAAAAAAAAATCAAAAAGGGTGAGTTTTTTAGTTCCTGCTGTCTTCTACAGGGTAGTATAACTGGAATGGGAATTTTGTTAAGTGTGTTCTGTCCCCAGCTAAATGCATTTCCCCCAAGTCTAGATACATTTTCTTAAATCTCTGCCCTGCCCCCATTAACTAAAATGAATATTCACAGCAATGAAACCACACACAAAAAAAGGTTGCCAGAAGTGTTGAAAGAGAATAGGTACTTTCACTATCAGAGATGGTTTCCTCTTTTCCCACAAGATGTCTTATCAGCTTTCACCCTGAGAAAACCATAAAAAGTAAGAAAAAGAAACCTTATGCAATAGTTCTCTAAATAAAATACTACACAGCAAGCTAGTCATCCCTAAAAGTGATGTTGTTTAAAGAGTCAAAGTACATCATCCAACAAAATCAATATCCTATTAAGTTAGGAAGGGTTCTGAATATCAAAGACTGATGAACTGAATAACTTAAAGTATAAGTACATGACCCAGGGGATTAATCACACACTGTCATGATGAAATTAGGGCAATTCTTCCAATCATTAACGTTTTGCTTACAAAATGTGCTTTTCTGTTTGTCTTTCTGCTAAATGATAACCGTTTTCAAGTTGAATCTCCTGATAAAAAGAGTTAAAAACAAGACAGGAGTTGTGCTGTAAAGGTCATACATGCTGCTTCAACATGAAATAGCCAAAAGACAAACAAATGAAAAATGCCTGGATTGTAGGAAGAATTTGTAAATATTCATTGGCAATCTGCAATGGGACACTTTAGAAAATAGTTAATGCCAACCTGTGTCCTGGGAATACTGTACTTCCTTCACGTAACACACTCTGGATTGTTAAAGACATATTTAGATTCAGAATAGGAGCAACCTGAAGAGAACTGGGAATAGCTTTAAATTGGAAAATGGCCTGGTTTCAGGGATTGTCTACTTTAAAGTGAGAATTCCACTCCTCAATTTTTCTATTGTCAATCAATACATAAGCCTTTATTTCTCAGCTTGATAGTCACGATACAGTTATTCTCAAGAATAAATATTAACCAGAGGTTATCTCCAGGAGCGAAACACACACACATACTGATTTCAGGACTGCTTTAATTCAATATTAGGCCCACAAGACTCCTGGTCTCCCCAAACTCAGATACAGTCAGTCCTCTTTTCAAATGAGACTGACTATGACCTTTGAAACTTTTGATGAAACCTGTCAGGCAGGGTCAGGGAGCCTGGAACCTGACTGCTGAGGAGAAAGGAGACCCTCTGGCTGGATATCTACTCTGAGCTCCAACAGTGAGAACGGAGTTGGGAATTGGGAGGGTGGGGAAGGTCTGGTAGCGGTCCTGTAGGTCAACTAGACCATCTTCATTCAACAGATGAAGAAACCGAGGCCAAAAATCTCCCACTGAAATCCTTAAGCTTCCAGGCCAAGGCACGCCTGTCTGCTTCAGAACCCAGGACAAATGTTCTCAGAAATTAAAAATTCACAGGTAATTCCAGGGGCCTTCCTGCAATCTCAGGTGCACTGACTTTTTCACTCTCTTCACCTGAGTGCTCATGTCTGGGAACTACAGCCCTGGTCAAGCCAGGCCAGGGGCAGAGTCACTCCTTCACAGGACCTCAGCCCAGAGGCATCCAAGTCCACAAAAACTATAGAGACCTCCAAGGAGGATCAGGCTAGAGGAAGAGATTTCTGGCCTCTCCCCTCACGGTTCTCTGCTCATCCTTTTCCTGGAATGTCAGGAACTTGGTGGCTCAGTTAGGCAAGCAGCTGAACTGGCAATACCTGGGTCAGTCAGAAACCTCTGCCCACCCTTCTTCTCAGCCCCATACCCACCCTCCGCTCAGCACTTCATTCCTCCCCAGCTCACAATACCTCTTCCTCAGCCCTGCTCCCTTCTCAACCATCGACCCATCTTCCGTTTCCCTGCTCCTCAAAGCTGCCAGTCTCCTGCTCCCTCAAGGGCAGGAACTGTCGGGAGGAGGGGAGCAGGAGAAAGGGCGAGGGGGGATCACGGGTTTCACCTGCTTCCTCCACACAAGAAGTGCCTTGGAACCCCCTGACCAGCAGCTTGGACAGCACCTGGGTACTTGTTAGAGGGCAAATTCCCTGACCCATCCCAGACCTACTCAAATCAGAAAGTCTGGGGATGGCGTGGGCAACGAGTCCCAACAAGGTCCGCGGGAGACTCTGAAGCTCACTGGAGTGAGAACCGTTGTCTTGGCACACACTACCTTTCCCCCATCGCGCCTCCCGGCCAGGGCCCCCCAGCCCTCTAAGCGGACCCCCAACCTGGACTCAGCCGCCAAGGGATGACGCACGTTGACTCAGGCGGGTCAAGGACGGCGGCCCCGCCGGCCCCGCGAGCCAAGGTGAATCGATGGTGCTCCGCTGCGGCGGCGCAGCTGCTCTTCCCGCCGCCTGGCGAGTCCAGGGCTCGCGTCTGCAGCGGGCCTTCCCCGCTGCTCCAGACACACTCAACACACACTCACACTCAGCCCCCAGCGAACCCTAGATGTGGGAAAGGCCCACATCTACCTTCCAGGTGCTCGCCACCGGTCACCGCCCAGAACTGCCTTCCTGAGACGCCAGAAGCCGAGACACACACCTCCAGACGCTCCAGACGCCCCTGCACCCGACCCCGCCCCAGCCCCAGCGCCCAGCCAAGCACCCCAGGCGCTGTAAGATAAGGGGTGGGTTTGTTCAAATCCAAGAATGAGAGGTTCAACAAGGTCAGTCGTCCTGCCAACATATTTATTTTATAGACAAGTTACTCATTTTTTTTTTTTTAAAAACACATTTTGGCCATTTTTTTTTACAGTTAACAATTATATATACACACATTATAAACATTGTTTAATATAAAACATATCTACAATCTACTTACATTTAATTAACCTGCTACTTCTAGTTCATCTGTGATTAAATTTAGTCACTGATGAGTCAGTTTCTCTGCTTGAACTGGACTGTACTATCCCCTTAACACTTCAAACAGGTACTAAGTGATAGGGCAAAACAAGCATTTAAGGATTAACAACTATGTATATCTTTATGAAAAAAGATACATACATCCCCGAGACAAGAACTCAGAGATAGCTTTGGATTTAAGGCAATACTATAAGAATGTAATGTGTAAGTAACATTTTCTTTAAAATATTCCAAGGCTGCCTGAATTGGGGGCCCCCTTTCCAAGGCATACCTCTGGATCTGGGGTGCTCCTTTGCTTCTCCTTTCACTAGGATGTAGAAACCGATTATAGAAAAGCCATTCAAGAAGCTCCTATTAAAATCTTTAAAGTTATAACTTAAAAATTTAACCAAAAAGTTCAAAATTACTTTTTATAAATAGAAAAAACAATTTTTTTTTTTAAAAAGGGGGTGAATTTAATCAGGGACGAGTAAATCATTCAATCTAAAATCAGTATACAAACTATTTAAGTCAAAATTAAGGTTTCCATGTGAGTTTGTTATTTAGTCAGTGCACCAAATATTTTAGAGATTTCCAGAATACCAGAAAATTGATTCTCTCTCTCATATAGTTTTCAGGTTCATCCAAGGAGATTTCCTGTAGCAAATCCCAGTTTTCCGAACACACCAATGTCAGTGGTCATCATCCAGCATTAAAATAGCCTTTATCGCCCTCAATGTCCACTTCCTGATCAGAATCCTCTGAAATCTCTGATTCAAGGTCTTCCTGGGAGACAGGGGAGGGTGAACACTGAGAGCTATCCAAAGCACCTTTATTCTGTTCACTAGGCAAGTCTTGCCTCTGGTCGCAAGAATTGTCCAAACTTTCCAGTTCTTCTTTTTTATTGTTTTGAGGGTTCTCCTAAAAAGAGGATGAAATGGAGATTGGTGGGATGATGAAATATGGAGAAATGAGAGATATAAATCAAATATCTTTTCATCTTCCATCATCTTTTTTAATTTTTAGTTTATCAAGTGCTTTCAGGTATAATATTTTTATTCAGAAAATACATAGTTATGCTTCTTTCTCACTTGGAAGGTAAAGTTCCTGTCATATCAGAGAACAATTATACTCTTCTTGCCAGATAAGAACAACTAACCACAAATATAACTGTAAATGTACTATGTCAAATGAATACTTAACTCCAGCCCAGACCTATGGTATCAAGGTTCTTAAAAGTTTAGGAAGAAAAAGAAATCAGATAACTACAGATACACACCATCTTTATTCTTCAAATATTTAAACCTTACCAATTAACAAAAGTCTTTTAGACATTTAAAAAATATGAATGCTAAATAATGCATTAAGGATAAAGTCTCAAAATTATTAGACTGAATTGTTTTTTATGCATTTTCTGGACTAAGTTTACAAACATATACACACATAAATATGTATAGCAAGTTACATAATCATGGCTAAGAAAAATGCAGAATTGGAAGAATGTTGCCAATTGAAAAGGGAGACAAATATAATGTACTTAAAATCTGGAGGAAATTTCTTGAAAATATTCCCTTATTACATAGAAATCACTATTTTTAAAGTCCCTGATAAACTACCTCTGACCAAGAGCTAAGTAAGTTAGTAAATTTTTAATCCTGTTTTTGTCTAAAATGCACATAAATACTAAGGAAAACTATGATATACTGCTAAAGTTTTTTTTTTCCTAAAGCAAGACTACAGAATAATAGATTTACCAAGCTTACAACTATGTGATAAGTTACAAGGCTCAGATATTGAGAGGAAACTCGAAATTTTTAAAATTGTGTTAGAATAATGAAATTATAGGAATTTTGTTTTCAAGTGTTTTTTATAACATTGTTTTTAATGGGAAAGTTATGACTGCTAAATTTAAAAATGCATACTGCTTTCAATTTCCCTATCCATTTAAAAAAATTTTGTTATAAACTAAACTACTAAGTGAAAAATTCAGCATTTGTCAGATAACTTTGGAGAAAATATCAGGTTAGGACATCAAAAACAAATCTTTAGCTCTAAGTCAACAGAGCTTCTTTAAAAACTGAATTAGCCTTTACTTTTTATCACATATTACGTAACAAGGTCACTGGAAGAAAGATTGTTAGAAAGTTTATGCTACTTTCCAAACAGGCTTGGATAGTGCTGTTTTTATATTCATTTTAAGAGCTAGAATTAGAGGGAAAATAATTTTTAAACTCTTTGATATTGAATTCTTCTAAAAAACAGTGCAAACAAGACTTAAAGGTGTTTATTTCCTTATATTTACCCTTGAGCTCTGCCTGGTTTTATTATGGCTGTGTAAATAAAAGAAACAATTTTCTCCCAAAGATAACTGCTTAAGTCATTTACTGTCAATTACTTTATCTTTCCTGCGTTAATTAGATAAACAACATATGGGGTTTATAAAACAATTAGCTGGGAGTTTTACTAGCCAGTGTGTGAAAACCCAAGCATAATTGATATAGGAACTGCATTAGGTGCTTTTAGCATTACTGCCGCCTGAACAACTCATCCTGAATTTCAGCAGGACTATTTGCCTTTTTAATCAAGGTGAAGAGGTTAAATAGTCCCTCAAATGACTTTTGCATACAACCTACAACAGGCCCCGCATTGAGATAACATGGTAAAAATATTTATTTCCATAGAAACAGAACCATGTCAATACCTGTTTTAGTCTTCTCCATTTAGCCCGTCGATTCTGAAACCAGGTTTTGACCTACAGAAAAGACAGAAAGAAAACTTGCCACAAGTCCAGAATCCCGAGGGACCTGGGGAGGGAGAAGTTCAGGAGCTTCCGAGCCAAACAGCTGCCGGCGGCCTCACTGTCTCTCTTCGGCCCCGAGACCCCGGCTCGCGCGGCCCGCGGCGCGACTCACCTGCCTCTCGCTAAGCTGCAGCATCTTGGCCAGCCGCTTCCTCTCGGGCGGGGAGAGGTATTTCTGGGTCTCAAACTTCTTCTCCAGCTCGATGGTCTGGTCGTTGGAGAACCTCACCTGGCCGCCTTTCCTTTTATGCAGAGGCCTCTGCAGGAAAGGGCTCCAGAGCAGGGGTTTGCCTGCGGGCCAGAGCGTCTGGGTTAGAGGCGGCCCCGAAGCAGCCCGGCCCGCACTGGGGGTGACAAAGAAGGGGAACGGAGGCTTCTGACCATTCAATCAGACACATTCACATACACCCGTTGAGACCCGGACCCAACAGGCTCCCACCAATACACATCACACCCCGAGACCCAGGAACATCCAAAGTCACACACCTACACTGCATATGCACGAAGATCACGTTCATATGCCCACACACCCACACACCCATCACACCCAGGGCTAGATACAATCATTTTGATCCCCCAAAGAACATCGACTACAGGCTGAGCTTAAAATACCATAACCTCTTTAACCAGTGGCTCTCAGAATGTATACACAACTAACTTTTTTAGCCTAGAGGACCTGCAGAGGGGTCCTCTCCCTTGGTGAACCACACTTTCCAAAGACCCGTGTGCGCGTTACGTTGGGGGGAGAGGGTCTGTCACACTAGCCAAAGCGTCGCTGCCAGGGGCCGGCGGTCTCGCCACCAGGGAAGCCCTCTGGCTCAGGCGGTGGATGTCAGTGGAGCTTCCAATCCTGGCCGGAGGGCGCAGGGCCCCCTCTGATTTCACACCCGGCCGGCGGGGGCGGCCAGTTAAAGCCACCCCGTGGGCTATGGCAACATTTCCGCCAATGTGTTTCCTGTTGGTCTATCTCGAAAAACCCTTTGCTTCCTCCTGCGTAGTCCCGAGGAAACCCAGGGCGCGCTGTGTGAAAACGTTTGCCCCCAGGCTCGCCCGACAGAGGGTCTCCCTCCGGCCCCAGCAGGCGAACAGAGCCACAACGGGCCTGCAGCATCAGACCTTCGAGGATGGAATAAAAAACACAGTAACTTAAAAAAAAAAATAAAAACCACACACACACACTAAAATATAATTCCCCCGAAAGTCTCTAGAGCGATGAGAAGGGAAGGTGGAGAACTGAACGAGGGGCCACACCATAATACTGATTACACTAAAAAGTCAGTTAATTAAAATGTCAGTTATCTCCAGGGTGCTTACATAAGCTGCCAATAACACAGAGTAGACTTAAAAGCCTGGTGGGCCAAGGCAAGGAGTCGCGTTTTCTGTACCGGAGGCTTCAGAAGCCCGGAGGCCCCAAGGGCCACGGGGCGCGGATCACAGGTGGCTCATTTCTTAGGCCGCGCACTGAGCGGACACGTCCCGCAAACTTCGTTCGGCTAACGTTCCCTACTCCAAAGACGGGTGGTCAGTCAGTCCGTCTGTCCGTCGGTCTGCAGGTCTGCGCTAAACGCTTTGAAAGCGGGCAATGGTTTTTTTTTTTTTTGCGAGATTTTGCTTACGTCAGGATTCAGACTGGTGCAAAACAGCCTCAAAAAAAAAAAAAAAGGAAGCAACTGGTTATTTTAGCTGCCATAAAGTCACATCCCACACAGAGGAAATGAACAATATCAGAAAAACGGATCCCGGCTATCAGAAGTCGAGTGTTTCCTGAATTTGTCTGTATTGAGGATGTCGATAAAATAATCAGCAGCGTGCACTACTCCGGGGGAAGGGTCTGCTTCATGCAGCCAGGAAAACACTTAACAGCTTCTGAAACCAGATTTACTCCTATCGAGAACTCAAGATTTCCTGTATGAACGGAAAGGGTCAGGCTCTTTCACTGCACAAGCTTGTTGTGCCAGGTTCAGTCCCGTAACCACCCGGAGCCCGACAGCTATCCCTGCCCCTCAGGGGCGGCCGGAGGCACTTTGGCACTGCCTTCCCGGTCCCTCCAGCTAAGGGAGCCTCCCAACCCCCGGGAGACAAGCGCCCCCAAGGCTCCTTCGGCCGCCGGCCCCCGCGGCAGCGCCGGCGGTGTGGCCCTGGCCCGCGCGCCCCGACGCCTGCAAGGTGCAGGAAAACTAATCTGAGTCATGGTGCGGTCAGTCTGGGCTGCGCGCCGCCGGGGCGCGCGCCTCCGGTCCCCCGCGCGCGCCCGGCAGCCGCTTTTCAATCGCTTTTGCCTCAACTTTCTATTGCCTCCCCCTCCGCCCCCGCCGCCTCCAGGGCGCTGCCACCTGCCGGGTGGCGCCTTCCTCACCGCCGTCCCGGCTCGGCCCCGCCATGACCCCGGCCGCCTTACCCAGGGGGTCGTGGCGGAGCAGGGCGTGCGTGTAGTCGTTCACCGATCGCGGGAAGGGGTACAGAGGGCCCCCGAAGCCGCCGGGTCCGTAGGCGGCGGCCAGCGCGGCGGCGGAGTGGTGCGAGAAGGCGGGGTGGATCGGCGTGGGCTCGTACACCGGGGCCCGGTAGGAGGACACGAGGCTGGTGAAGGAGGAGTTGGGGGACGGCAGCGTGGGCGTGGGGGTGGGCGCGGCGGGCCCGCGACCCAGGATGTCCTCGATGTAGAACGGCGTCGGATGGGCTGGCTGCAGCAGCGGCGTGGGCGCGTACAGCGGCACCCCTACGGCGCCCGCCGCCGTCGCCGGCCCGGGGTGCGGGTACTGCATGGCTGCGCCGCGCTCCGGCCCCTCGGAGAGCTGCCGGCCCGCGCCGCGGCGCTACATTTATCCGCGCTCCGCGCTCCCGGCGATAGGCTCCGCCGGCCGCGGGGTGGGGCCGCGCTCTCTGGCCCCTTCCTGCCGCCGGGCCCTGCGGCCAATGGCGCGGAGCCCCGGGAGCCGCCTCCCGCCCCCACCCTTGGCCCGCCCCCGCCGGCCGAGCTCTCCGCCCCCGGGACGCGCTCGCTTGCTCGCCGCCTCTGCGCACCCGGCTCCCCGGTGTCCAGCCGCCGCAGACGCTCGGGGCTCCACGCACCCTGGCCCGGGACGCCCTCGTCGGAAGCCCAGGGCCGCGTCCGTCGAGCGAGGCGCGAGGCCAACAGCTGCCTGCAAGGCGGACTCAAGCGGCCCTAGCTTCGGCAGGGAGGCATCTCCGCCGAAACTCGAGGGCACTGGCCTAGGCACGGGCCCGCGGTGGCGGCAGCCGGCCCGAGCAAGGGGCTGCTGGACTCGGGCCCAGCAGGCGTGAGGCCACTGGCCCGGGCCGCGCCTTCGCTGGCCTGAGAGCACCCTCCCTTGTCGGCGCACTCCCTGGAGTAACGGTAGCACTGGCTGTGGCCCCGGGCATCTTCGGAGTGCTCGTAGCGGGAGAGTGCCCTGGGTTCCTGGGGGAGCTCCAGAGAGAGAGAGAGCGAGCCACGGCCCTTGCCTGCGTCCCTGTGGGTAAGGACGAGTAGACATCAGGTGCTCCGGACTCCGGCCTCTCTAGCCCGTGTCACTCGGGGGCCCCGGGGACTCAACAACTTCCCCGGGGACGCTGGTAGTAGTCCCTTCGGGTAGGAATCAAGGGAAGGCCGGGGTCTTACGGCGCCTGGCAGGAGCTGTGCAGTCTTCTCTGACCCCGTGCGAGCTGCTCCATGTCCCCTGTCCCCGGGTCCTGGGGGGTCGCAGCTGCGCGCAGTCCCGCTTTCCCGTTTTGCACGTGTTTTCTATTGAAGCGGCGACGCTACCCGGTGTGGCCTCGGCTCTGTGCAGCTCCACTCGCCTGCGGGGCAAGGGGGCATTTTCTTGATTGACGCCCTCCCGCGGTTGTCACACCTCGCGGTGAGCGGTTTCTGCTAAGGTCCTCCGTCAGTCGTGGAATTGGGAGAAAAAAAAAAAAAACAACTTCCCGGCTTTTTCTATTAAGAGTTTTTATTTACATCTTGGGATTATTTCTCCAACTGCAGCGGGACAGCACTAGGCAGAGTGGGCTGGAAGCCGGATGGCTTGAGTTCGAGTTTCAGTCCAGACTGTGAGCAACTACTGTGTGCCAGAAGTGAACAGCACAGATGTGGTTCCAGTCCTCGCAGTGGCAGGAAAAAAATTTTAACACAGTGACTTAGGTCTGCGCTAGGAGGGAGAAGTGGAGAAGTGCGCGATGACCCGAAAGCTTGTAAGAGAGGCCATCTCCTTCTTGGGGGAGGGAGATGAATTACGGAAGGGAAAGGGTTCGCCAAGGAAGTGATGTTTGAAAAATGAGTAGGTGTCAAGGAACCTGGAGAGGAACTAAGATTTCAAGTCCAGAGAATATAGCATTTGAGTGTCCTCAGTACAGCTTTTCAAGTCACCGTCCCTGAGTTTTTCTTATCTGAAACATTTAGCATATAGCCTAAAGGTTTCTAATCTTTTGGGATTGGGATCCTAGGCATCTTTCAAAATCTGATGACAGACAGGAGCTACAAGATGATAAAGTGATAATACAAAGTGATAATATGCTATCATTTCAGTTAAAACGTTGACAGAAGGTAAGATTATTTATCTGCACCTTTGCTCTATTATGGAAACTGTCTCTAGAAGGATACACAAAAACCTAGTAACATTGGCTGTCTATGAAGAGAACGGTAGGGTTGGAGGGAGAATGTATTGTACGCTTTGTGACAGTTTGGAATTGGAGAATTGAACCGTGTGGATGTATATAAGTAGGTCCTTGAAGGAGTGGCTGATTCTAGGTTGGGACAGGAAAATACAAGGTGAGCTCCAGGCATCTTGTACCAAAAACCACAGAAAGAAAACAGGAACCAGCTTGAAGGATCTTCCACTGGCCAAACTTGGGGTCATTTAAGCATCAAAACTATGGATTAAGTTTATAGTATCACTGCCTATAGAGATACTCAAGGAGAGACAGAAAGGGATGGTAGATGGTAAAACTGGAAGAATGCTAGCTAACAAGTGATAAAAATCAGAAAATGTAATAATTCGTTCAACAATCACTGGACACCAAAACCATCAAGGGAAACATTGTTAAGGATGAGGATTTTCACAAGGTCTCATAGTGTCACCCCAGATTGATTGGATTCTGGATTTTTTTAAGCTATAAAAGACATTTAGGAGGATAATGGGCAAAAACTGAATAAGAATTGTATGTTAGATGACATCAGTAGTGTTCACTGTTTTAGATGGGGTATTGGTATTGCAGGTGAAATATCCTTATTCTGGGAGGCACAAGCTAAGGTACTGGGGTGTGAAGAGTCATGAAACCTACAAGTTACTTTCAAATTGATATACAAACATATACATATATGTATATGTAAAGATAGAGATAAACCAAATTGAAAAATTATCCATTTGTGAATTTAAGTGAAGAGCACACAGATGTTCATTGTACTAGTTTCAGCTTCCCTGTAAGTTTGACCTTTTTGAATATAAAAACTTTTAAAAAGTATGAATTTATGTTTAAAAATGAAAACACTCTCAAGTCATTTTAAAAGGTAAAATCATTTGAATTATTTGTTAAATCTGCATACAAGTTTAGGTAGTGCATCCTCCTGGAAACCATCTGTGGCCAGCCATTTGCAAATCTTTGGTCTCTCTGGGGTCTGGTTTGATGTTGTATGCCCCACCCCACCCCCAAGTCATAATTCTCCTCACTAGGTGATGGGGAATTCAGGCAGGTGCTGGGAGACTGTGACATGAGGGGTATGTTCTTCTGTACCAAGGACAGAGATGGGATTTGGGGACAAAAAAAGAACAATGGTTATGTTAAAGGACTTCAGAAGTTATATTTGAGCCTTCAAAGATTGGGACCTCAGGAAACTAACCAGGTGATTGTGATTGTTATTTTGTCACAAAAATTTCCTCCCTCATCTTTGTTTTGCTCCTTTTTCCTGCCCCTTCTACCTAGCACATAATTGAGATTATTACTGCAATTCATTTAATGCCCTTACAGTAAATCACTAGTGAGCCTTCATTCTCTATCTTCATAAATAGTATGAGTTTATAGTTTATTCTGTACATGACTAAGCCACAAGCCAAAAAGATCTAAGTCTACAAGCATTCCAAAAATAAATATTAAAATACTAGAGAAATAATCACTAATATAGAAAAAGGAAGCATCATTCCTTTCTTTGATTTAACCACAGATCCTGTGAGGTGATGGGAGATCTTATAAGGCATTGGTATAACATTCCAACTCAGCTACATAATCCTAACCAGCAAATTGAAGCACTTAATTCTGTTAAGCTATATAACACCACCTCTTCTAAATCCAGTCGTCAGATCCATGTTCATTTCACTATAGTTAAAAAAAAATTACAACCACATTTGTGAATGTCACATTCATTGAACTACATAATTTTTAATATCACTTGTGTAAGTTTTATAGTTTGTTTTATTGTTTTAAAAGTCATTTGGGGCTCTAAAAGAACTAGATTTTTCCAAAGTTGTCCTTATAATTTTCTTTCTCCCAGTCAGAACCAATAAAACAAAACTGTTGTAGCTATTTAATTCAAAATCTCTTGGAGTTTCAATATTTTTTCTCTGCTGGATACTAAAACCAATAAAGCTACATGAGATTTTAATTATATTCTGAATTTAAAAAGACTCTTTAAAAATTTGGCACCATTTATTTTAGCCACTACTATTGTGTGAGATACCAAACTTTGTAAGAAGAGAAGGTGGTTCTTAACCTCTAGTTTATCTAGGAACAGCTTTAGTAAAATTTTTGCAACTTATTTTCAATAACTAAATGTACATAGAAGTAAAACTTCAAAGTAACTATACCTTGAGAGCATGAATGGATTTTGTATAACAATGTAATCCCGTTTTTGCTTATACTAAAAGTTTTATTATCTTCAGCCATTGGAATGACTAAATCATTTAGTAAATCACATATTGAATCGTTGTATTATGTTTTATTTAAAATTTGACAATATCTAATTAGTTTTTTAGGGTTTTACTGACTTACAAGATGCAACTATGATCAAAAGAAATATTTTGTCCTTGTCATGAATAGGATCAGCGCTCTGGAATACACAGGCAACAGTCATCACGACGTTGCTTCAGCGGTGGTCACATTTCACATACTGTCATGTACTTTACATAACACCATAATGTGGATAAATTTTACCAACCATTGAGCTTTGGGTGAAGTTTATGATATTTATTTGCTCAGTTTAAAAAATGATGAAGAATTCAATAACAAAAAAGACAGAACACTATTTTTTAAATGGGCAAAAGATCTGAATAAACGTTTCTCCAAAGAAGATACACAAATGGTCAATAAGCACGTGAAAAAATGTTCAATATCATTGATCATCAGGGAAATGCAGATGAAAACCACAATTAGATACCACTTTATACACGGTAAGATAGCTATAGTAATTTCTTTAAAAAAAAAAAAGGATGTTGGTAAGAATGTATAAATTTAGAATCCTATACATTGCTGGTGGCTGTGTGAAATGAAGCCGCAGCTGTGGAAAACAATCTGGGAGTTCCTGAAAAGGTTAAACAGAGTTACTCTATCACCCAGTAATTCTACTCCTAGGTATACACCCAAGAAATGAAAATGTTTGTCCATACAAAAACTTCTACACAAATGTTCACAGTAGAAATATTCATGACAGCCAAAAAGTGTAAACAGTCCAGATGTCCACGTACTGATGGATGAATAAATGTACATCAAGCAATGGAATATTATTTGGTAATAAAAGGGAATGACATACTGATGCAGCTACAACATGGATAAACTTAAAACATTTTGCTAAGTGAAAGAACC